TGTCTCTGCTTCAAAAAAATTTGTGTTCTCTCTGTCCTGTAGGACATTACTAACACCTACACACTCATGAAGGTGCCGAGGATGAGTGGGGACTGATAATGACAAAGTGGGCACTTGAATGCAGCTCTTCCAATGCCAAAGTTACACAATGCTAGTTAACAACAGGAAAGTTTGACTGAATGTCTAAACCTAAGCCCTGGTGGCAGACACCCCATGTCAGAGGGAACACTGAGCCAATTAAGAGGAGAGAGACATGGGACAGAGGATGTGATCTGCTCAAGCTCACACAATAAAGGGAAGAGCTGATCTTCACAATCAGATCATGCAGATTCTTCCACCTTCTTACAAGGATCACTTCCACTGAGCACGCTCTCAAACACAGCCATGTGAGCCATCCTTGGGAAGTGCTGTTGTTACCCCTGTTATATAGACAGGAAACAGATTCAACAGATGAAACCCAAGGTCGGGGTTGCTGACAAGTTAAGAACCAAAGCTATCACTGCCACCCCCACTACACCATGTAGTACCTCAAAAGATCATGTCCAAGGCCAATGATGTCAGAGTCCTCAAACGGAGCAAAGCTTGCCCACACCTGACACCAGACCAAGTTTTTCTACTAGGTCTCACCGGTGTCAGCATCATGACCACAGGCTATGGGAAGCTCTGAGGGCGCTTCAATAGCTGAAGGTACTGTTTCCCCATGTCTTGGACCAGTTGGTGACATTACTAGGTTGGAGATGGGGAGAGTAGGCTACTGGGTGCTCCTGAGGAGATGTGCAGAGCCCTAGTACACTCCTTCCCGAGCGTGGCTCCTGGGAACTTGAAATTCAGGCATTAGTTAGGCTCTACCCCAGCGTTTTCAGGTTTCAGAATGACGTGGTTACCTCCATCTGCATCTACTCCCGGCCTTTGTCTCCCTCCCCAGCTTCCCTCCCTAAACCCAATCCACTGAACACTAAGCCCACTCCTCCTATGGGCTTAGGTTCCTGAGTCAATCTTCAGCCCACTATAGTACCCTCTCCTGTCTCTCGGGATCTATGATCTCTGCCCCATGTGTCTGGCATCTAATTGCTATCCTATGATATCCAGTTATTAAATTGGCCTTCTTTTTCTTGGCAGGCCAGGCTGGTTACCGATTTACTGATGGTCCTTCCGCCTCTGCCTCCCAAGTGCTGAGATTCCAGGTATGGCTTACCACTCACAGCTTTCACTTACTGGGTTTTATGCGGATGAATGTTTTGCCATGGGTGTGTGTGGGGGGTGTACTGAAGCCAGGAGAGGGCATTAGATCCCCTGACCTGGAGCTACAGAGGTTGGGAGGAGCAATATGGGTACAAGAGCAGCAAGTTCTCTTTACTGAGGAGCCAACTCTTCAGCCCCTTAAGTAGACTTTATGCTAAAAGGTGGCAATGCCGGGTTTGTGCTATTTTCCTCCCTTCGGTGAGTTTCCCAGGTATCCACATCTCTAACCAAGTGCAGGTAAGAATGACCATAACACTTTTATTCCAATGTCTCCCCATCCAGGTGGTGGCCACAGTTCCCATTCCCCATTTGGGGGCTGCCAGCTGAGGGTCTTCCAGAATCCCTAGACTGTGGTAAAAGGCTACCTTCTGCCACAAGCGGAAAGAAATGGTTTCTTGTACTAAATTGCTATGGACTCTGGGTGCACACTCCACTTCATCTCTAAAGCCTTATATTCCCAAGTTCACATCTGCAGCGGTCTTGGGGCTCTGCGATCTCTGCTCTCCTGCAGAGGTACCTGTCACCTCTCACCTGTGTCTCCACACATCCTGGAAACAGAAAACTGCTCTTAAAAGAAGTGTGGGAAGTCTCCGGGATGGGCTCTGCCCATGGGGCACCTGTTGCCATGTTGGAAACGAGAGAGGAATCTGTGTCTTCCTGCATAGCCCACACTTTTAACACCCACCATGCACTCAGCTTTGCCTCGAGCTTCTCTGCCTCTGAAGGGCAACCAGTTCTTTATGGGCTCTGAGCTGGCTCCAGGCGGCCATAAGCCACGTTGTGATGGGCATCAACCCTCTCAGCAGCTGTCTCACTGCCTCCTGCAGCCAAAGGGCAGTTAGAGCTTATTAACGCCATGGGTCACCTTGTCCCTCTCCCCCCAAAACCCAGTCATTGCTCATTACCTCCCAGTCTCTGGAAAAGCCCCTCCTGGTCAATGCCCCACTGATACAGCAATTCAGAGCCATGGTCCCTTAGGTTGGGAACTCTGTTTCCTTTTCCTCTGGCTGTTTTGGATGAGCAGGGTGAATCTCTGAAGCTAAACAGGATTAGCAGGGCACCACAGCTGGAAGGCACTGTGAACCTTCCCAGGCTCTGCCCCACATCGGTAGTGCAGAGCCTCTTGGGGCTGACCCCTTAAGCCTAGGCTTTTAAAAACCTCCAGGAAGTAGCCAAGGCTGAGAAGCACCATTTTAGTGACAAGCACTGAGCTTGTCACTGTGGTCCTCTCTCTTCTTTCCCCCTGGACTAGAGTGACCTTAGCAACTGTCCAGCAGAGTTGTCATTAGCAGCCGGAAGGAGGGGCTCTAAGACACCACTGCAGGAAGGCTGAGCCAGTGTGAGCTCTCACTCGGGCACTCTGAATAGGTCCTCATTGTCTCCATTAGCTTATCTGCGATAACCAACCACTATTACCAGGAACAGGGAAGGCTGCTCCTGCAGACCTTTTTACTTCCTGCCTGGTTGGCACATTTTTTTTCATTGTGTGACCTAAGCTTTTCTCCCCCTTACTTTATCCATTTCTGTTGTTGAGGGCCTATGAGCATGTGGGCCACAGCATAAGTGGTTATGATTTTTTTTTTGCTTTAGGGTGTGGCCACAGCAGCTTCTCAGAACATTGAGCTCTAAATCTATTACTGGCCTGAGACACCTCCTGTGGGCCACTAACTTGATAGCCTGTGACCAGTGACCACCTTCTGTGTGCAGGTTACCACTCGGAGTGAGGAACAATTACCATTTCCCACACAGCAGACATGGTGTGCCCAGAAGCCCAGCAGGCAGGGAGCATGGAGCCCTGAGCCAGGTGTGGAGTGAGAGAAAGATTGAGAAGTCTCCTGAAGAAACAGGGAAGGGCTAGCCTCTCACACATAAGTAATTTACTCAGAGACAGAGTGGTATCAGTTAATAATGACACCACTGGCCAAGGACCATTTTAGGTTCTTCCTGGTGGTCTAATGTAGTGTAACCAATGGAGACGGTGAAGTCCATGGGGACCATCTAGTCTTGGAACGACATTCCTATCTACAGTTGAAGCCATGCCTGCACACGCTAGCCATCTGGGCAATGCGCAATGTCCTGTCTGCATCCACACCGATAAACTAGTCAAAGTACAATGCCTCCACACAGCCATTTCTAAAAGCTCCCAGAGGAGCATGATGTAGAGCCAACTGCTAGAGCCCATGAACGAGGTGGGGAGTACACTGCAGCACAGGTCCTGCTGCATTGGATGGGGAGTACACTGCAGCACAGGTTCTGCTGCATTGGATGGGGAGTACACTGCAGCACAGGTTCTGCTGCATTGGATGGGGCAAGCCCTGCCAGAGCCTCAAGCCTGTTCCCATCCTGCTTGCTCGTTCCCTTAGTGCCATGAGGTGAAAGAGCAGAGGGGAGTAATGACACCTTGGGAAATGCTTCCCATGTCTGTTTGCTCAGAGTGGCGAGGGAAGGACGGGAGGGAATGCAGTCTTGAAACCTGGTCATCTTTTGTCAGACTCCTAGAGTCCTAAAGCAGCCCAGAGCCACAGCTCTGCAGAGTCATTAGCACCCTAAGAGAACTGGACCAGAACTGCTCAATGCACCAAGCAAGCGTCTCTGGACAGACCAGCCAAGAGTGGAGAATTGTCACCCCCTAGTGGCAAGCTGTGGGTATGACACCACCTTGCTTTTGGACTTACATGCAAATCCTTCTCCCTTTTAGTTTAGAAGTAGAACTAGCCATATAAGACCTAGTATGCCATTCATCACTAGATGCTAGCAGAGTATCTTTCAGGGGATGCAAGAGGCAGGTTGGTAGAGTTGGGAGTATAGCTACATAAGGAACCAGCTTCTCTGGAAAACCACTAAGACAGCCCATTGTCTGCACAGCAGGGACAACACAAGCTCTAACTCTGAGGGTTGGGAAGACTGAAGGTGAAGAACAGTTTGCCTCACCTACACAAAAAGCTATGGGGAAGCTGGCAGTACGGAAGTCTGGTCTTGGCCTGAGGACAGGTGTCACCCTGTCCTATTCAGCCAGTATCCTGCTTCTCTGCTGTGCTTGTTTTCCTGACTTGACATGCCTCTGCTTTCATTTGTTTGTGGTCCTAACTTTGTATTTCAGTTTTATCTATTTCCTTTTATGTGGGTGAGTAATTGCCTGTGTTTATTTCTGTGCACCACGTGTGCCTTGACCTTTGTAAGTCAGAAAGCGGCTTTGGATCACCTGGAACTATAGTTAAGATGGTTGTAACTATCCTCTGGGAGAGCAGTCAGTGCTCTTAGCTGCTGAGCCATCCCCCCAGGCCCTGTCTCCTTGTTTTTTATTATGAACGCCCGCAGTGCTGAGGGCAGAACTCCGTGCAGAGTGAATGCCAGGCAAGCACTGTGTCAGAGTGACAGCCCAGGCCCCACTTGTTTCTGGGGGTCCTCAACTCTCCTGGATGAGGCAGGCCACAATGAGACTTCAGCTGGGACTCGTCAGGGTTTACTCTTTACACACACATGCAGATCTGGTTCCACATTCTTTCCCGTGCTATCATCCTTAAGAGAACAGCTCTCTGTCTAGGAGGCAGCGGTACACACACACATGGCAGGATTACCCGGGAACCTTAAGCACTGTTCTGAATCAGAAGGTCTGAGGATATCCCAAGAGCCTCCACTTTCATGTTCCCAGCTGCTTCTGAGGCAGCCACCCAGCCCGCAGCTCTCAAACACTGTGCATGAAAGTTTCTGGCCTGGAAACAAAGGGGTAGTCATGACAAAGAATGCCAAGTGCCTTCTTAAAGTTTTCTAAATAAACCTCAACTTTATTCAGCTGACATGTTCTGAAAACAAGGGGTGTAAGTATAATTTGCCAATTAAAGCGATTTAAATTCAACAGGGCAAGCTGGCTTTCAAGAAAGCTTGGAGCACACCTGTAAAACCTAGACTACTTACTTGGTCCCTGGGCTCTGCTTTCCTTAAAGTGGCCACACATGGATTATACATCTATTTAATACAGGTGCCCTACCTGCTTTACATCACGCCTGTATTAAGTAGATGTATACTATTACACAGCGGCACCAAGCTGCACACACCACCTGCTGGGCTGCAGCTAGAACTCAGTCTTACCCCACTAGAGGGCATCCATTCCGGCTCTGGCCCTTTCCACCACTGAGGACAGTTGTACCCAGTCAGGTCGGGGTGATCTCACAAGGTACTGCATGGGAATGCAAGGGAGGGCAGCCGTGAGGCAGCCAGCTCAATGCCCTCAGCATCCAGATCCTCTGGCTACTACTGTTCTCTACTCCCAGGTAGTGAAGACGCCCACCCACTGCAACTTTTATTCCAAAGTTAGGGAGACCTGGCTGCGAAGGCAGAACATCAGGTTTATCAAAGCCAAGGAGCACTACAAAGACAAGTGTGGGAACACTGTCCCAACCATCACTGAAGGGCAAAGGGCAGGGAGCTTTTGCTGCCCACATTTTGAGTCCAAATGGCTCAAGTTTTAACTTGTGCATCTTCCAAAGCACGTTGTCTGATGGGATTGTGGGGTGCCCAGGGGGCAGGGCAGTCAGGTCTATGCAGTCTAAACTCCATTTTATGGCCAGCCAGTAGCTCATGCCAATTTGTGTCCCCAAAGTGAGACCTAGGTCTGAAGATGCTACAAGCTTCCTCTCTCCTCTCGGGGCCATTGTTTTCACTCCACAGAATTATCAATTCTCCCTAGAGGAGTCACAGATCCTTACTTCCTGGCCACTGAGGGCCCATTTAGCCTAGAGCGGAAGGAGCAACAGACGCTGAATCTGACCAGAATCTGAAATTAGTACCCAGGAAAGACAGGTTAAAAGTGTGACTGCTGATAAAGTTCCCCAAAGGGATCCCACAGATGTACCCAAGAGACCAACGCTGCTACTCAATAGGAGAGAGGTGGTATGTAACACACACTGTGAAGAGGGACATGGCACAGAGGGCACTTAAGCAAAGATAAGCAGGGCAATCAAAGGTAGGGTTAATACTGACCAGGTTTCCAGTTCTGAGGAATTCTGGGTGTCTGATTGTCCCACCATGAGGCTACTAAGTTTAGGATTGTTTGGGTGGGTCTGTGACTAGAGAACAAATAAAATCACTAGATCTTTCTGGTACTTTCAGAGACTAAGCACAATAAGTGTGCTCAAGATATATTATTTTTCAAAAAAAAAATTCTACAATACACCAGGTATTGATATAGCCTTAATCATGGCTGGGCAAAGTAAAAATGACCTGGTCCCTGAAACAGTCTCATAAAGATATACTTACCAGGGACATCTCCAGGGTGGCCTACAAGGGCTGGGGAACAGGGAGGGTTAGTGGATTGATATATTGCTAATATATTTCAAGGGAGAGGAGAGCTAGTCACAGGAATTTGAGATGGCAAAACTAGATAAGTCTGCAGCTTATAAATCACCCTTTGCTCATGGCTACTTTCAAAGGGGCAAAGGCCCACCCACTGAAGTCTGGGTGGAGGTGCCAAGCTACTGTCTCTCAACTGTAAGAGTCAATTGCTGTATTAACTGGAAAAACACTGGTGACTCAGGACTTGTGTCCAGACTGAACACTCCCCAGGAACACTGCTGGCCTCACCTCAGGAAGGACAAACACCCAGTAACCGTGGCATGGAAAAGCTTACACTATCAGCAGCAACTCCAATGTCTCCACTTCCCTGGAGTAGCTGCTTCCAGGGAAGTGTGCTGGTGTTAGCAGTTAGTCACCTACGTGTCATGTTTTCTTAGGGGTTGGGACTAGGGAGTGGCTAGAGGATGTGAGAACTGATCTATCCCAGAAGGCACAAGGAAAGACTTCTTTCCTCATCTTCTCACTTGTGTCCCAGCCCACCCATCAGGAGCCACAGAGGGCGGGTGATGACAAGGAATGACCAGTGTGGACAGTCCTGTGTGCAAGCGTCACCATGCAGGCTTTCCAGGGCAAGCATTAACTGTATGGACAGACCACAAAACCCACCCATCCCTCCCCCAGTGAGAACCAGATAATAGGATCTTGACCCACTTCCTAAGCACCACACATCTTGGTGACCCCAGTTCCCACTCCCCAGATGTCACAGAAAACAAAGCAGGTTTGATACTAAGCCACAATTAGTCCTGGGGGGAGGGGTGTCTTCACAGTTAAGGCATACATTTCAAAAGGTGGCCTCCCAGCCCACTTCCTGCTTGCACATGTGCACACAGTGGGAAGGCTATTCCGTGCTGGGTACAGCTGGCTCATGTCAGGTACTGTACCACAAGGAACATGACTGCACAAGTGAGCAGCATCCCTCCGATCATGAAGTACTTGTCTTGGAAGGCCCGCTTCTCAATTAGCCTCATCACTGTGTTAGACAAGCCGAGCATGTTGGCAATGTCAAGGATCTTTTTCTGAGTCCCCTGGGGAGATGAGAAGAGAAAGAAAAACAAGGATCAACATAATTGCCAAGGGTAGTTAAAGAGCACCACAAGTCAGGGTTTTACTAAGTGTCCTCTTGGTCATGCCCAGATACGAAAGGCAACACTCACCAGAGATAGATTCACTTGTGTTTGGTCAAAGGAAAAGAAGCCTTTCCCTCAAATGGTGCTGGAACTGGCTACATATCATGTATATATGTACACTTCATGTATAAGTAAAACAAAAAAGTGAACTGTGATTCACATTACATACAAAACTTGGGGCTGGGAAATGGCTCAGTCAGAATGTTTGCTGTGCGAGCACAAAGACTTGCGTTTGGAACCCCAGGATCCATGTAAAAAGCTAGATGTGGTTAGCCTATAGCCTTCAGTGCTGTAGGTGGCTGAGGAAGGAGAATTTCTAGGGCTTGCTGGCCACCAGTCTAGCTCCAGATTCAGTGGGAGGCACTGTCAAGAGCCCTAGAGAAGGGCACCTGAGCATTTGAGTAACACTCATTCAAGGCGGATCTCCAAATAAACACAAAGACGGAAACTACAAGAAAGCTTCTTTAAAAAAGACAAAAGAAAACAGAAAATCAGAATAAGGTCTGAAAACTGAGAGGCAATCCAGTTTATGTATCAACCAGAGGATAAATAAACACACTATGGCATAGATACACATGGCTCAGAAATAAAAAAGACCTAATTAGCACATGTAATCAAATATGTCATAACACGAGTAAACCTTAAAACCAGAGGAAGAAGCCACACACAACAGTATGAATAGTTATGTTTAGTTCAGTAGCCAGTACACCAATGGACATTGGACCTCCCCCAACCTTTTAAGGTACTTTTGTTGTTGTTTGTTTTGTCTTTCGAGACAGGCTTTCTCTATGTAGCCATGTCTCTCCTGGAACTCACTATATAGACCAGGCTGGCCTCAAACTCATAGAGATCTGCCTATATGCCTCTGTGTGTGCCACCACTTCCCAGCTTTTTAAACTACTATGTCATACCTACATCAATTCATGACAATTGTATCACATATATACACAAGCAGACATATCCCTCTACTAATCACAGGTAAACTATATATGAGTGTCTTTGCTGAAGCTCATTCAATTTTTAGAGGCAAAGTAGCTCAAATGGGAACAAATAAACTCAGAAAACTAGAGAAAAAATAAAAAAATACATAAGAGTGGTCAAGATTAGTTACACCGATCTGCTGCACCTATCTTTTAATATTATTTTTATTTGTTTTCGAAATAGGGTCTCCCTAAATAACCCAGGCTGGTCTACAACTCACAGTCCCCCTTCCTCACCCTCTCCAATGCTAGAATTCAAGGCATGTGCTACCACATCCAGCCTTTCCTACCCTTTGAATACACAAGTATGCACTGTGTGCATTCAAGCTAAAATTTTTGCAATATTAAGTGGAGAGCTGCTGCAGGCAGAGCCACTATGAGTGGAAGAGCCTTGGCAGAGTGTAAGGCGAGCGGAGGATAGACTCAAGGCAGACTAGTCAAGTCTTGCTAGGATCAGGGGCTGGCCTGCCTACTGGTCACTTATACTTTATCGTGTCCTGTTTTGTTCCTTATTTGCTTGTTCCACTATTTTGTAATTAAGGCAAAGGGGTTCAACTAGTCTAAGTATTGTGAACCACACATCAGAGTGTCTTACTCAAATATTCTTACTCTTCTGAAAATACATCTAATTTCTTCTTCTTCTTCTCTCTTTTTTTTTTTGGTTTTGTCTTTTTTGTTTGTTTATTTTTTTTTTCTCAGTGAAACAGTCCTGGTTATCCTGGAACTCACTCTGTAAACCAGGCTGGCCTTGAACTCACAGAGATCCACCCGTCTCTGGCTCCCAAGTGCTGGGATTTAAGGCATACCACCACTGCCAGGCCTAAATACATCTAATTTCTACAAACAACTTTAAAAACATTTATTTATGTGTATGTATGTATGCCTGCATTTATATGTGTGCCTCTATTTATGTGTGTGCACCACGTGCATGCAGGAGTCAGAAGAGGCATTGATGCCTTGGAACTGGAGTTACAGACAGTTAGCCACAATGTGTGGGTAGTGATAATCTAACATGGGTCCCCAGAAGAACATCTCTCATGTGCTAACAGACCTTCTGCTCTACCATAAATACCATTATTTCCTAAGATGAACCTTAAAGCAGCTGAAAAGACAGGCTGGACCTGGGGCCAAGGATTGCTATTGCTCTTGGGCACAGGACTGGTGGATGAGATGCTGGACAGTGGTGGGCAAGGACAGCTAGTAGGTCTTCTCCAAGAAGGCTTACATACAGCCTGAGAACAGATACACACCAACTCTTAGCAGAAGGGGCCACAATAGGAATCATCAACACTGAACAGTTTCTGTGGATCGCAGCTCCCAAGTAGCTCCAGTTTAGCTTTTCAGTTTTTAATTCTCAGGCTGCTTTCATTTATATACAGTATATGATCAAATGTGCAAAGTCTTCTTTGGTAACACTCTTGCCTTGTGCTAGTGCCATGATTTCTTGTCAGCTAACAGCCCTTGCATCCAGTGCCCAGCCTATGATCTAGCTGGAAGCAGCACTGCTGTCAATGGCCTAATTACCCAAAATGTTCCATTATTACCAGTTTTCTGAAAACTTCTACAATGGGTGACAGACAAACACTACCCAGACACATAAGCACCACAGACTGGGTTCGTGCTCAGCCATATTCCTGTGGACACTTCTAGACTTTATATTTTTAAAAGCTATCTGAAAAACTTCCTCAGCTCCAGCAATCCTTGATAATGACCCATTCACTTCATAGAGTAGAAATCTTTAGGGCTTCTACTGAGTAAGTAGTTACAGTTGTTATTAACAAGTAAGTTTGAAGTGGGAAAAGAAGCAAAGGCTGGGCATTTAATCCCAGCAGTTGGGAGGCAGAAGCAGGCAGATATCTGTGAGATCCAAGGCTAGCCAGGGATACATAGAGAGAGGAGAGAGGAGAGAGGAGAGAGGAGAGAGGAGAGGAGAGAGGAGAGAGGAGAGAGGAGAGAGGAGAGAGGAGAGAGGAGAGAGGAGAGAGAGAGAGAGGAGAGAGGAGAGAGAGGGGGAGAGAGGAGAGAGGAGAGAGGAGAGGAGAGGAGAGAGGAGAGAGGAGAGAGGAGAGAGGGAGAGAGGAGAGAGAGAGAGAGGGAGAGAGGAGAGAGGAGAGAGGAGAGGAGAGAGGAGAGAGGAGAGAGGAGAGAGGGAGAGAGGAGAGAGGAGAGAGGAGAGAGGAGAGAGGAGAGAGGAGAGAGGGAGAGAGGGAGAGAGGAGAGAGGGAGAGAGGAGAGAGGGAGAGAGGGAGAGAGGTAGAGAGAGAGAGAGAGAGAGAGAGAGAGAGAGAGAGAGAGAGAGAGAGAGAGAGAGAGAGAGAGAGAGAGAGAGAGAGAGAGAGAGAGAGAGAGAGAGAGAGAGAGAGAGAGAGAGAGAGAGGGAGAGAGAGAAGACATAAAACCTCTTCTATATAAATGCTGCCACCCACCACAATAAACTGCCTAAACCACATGGCCTGGTCCTCCTCACTGTTCCTTAATGTTTATTGTATTTACAGCTTCTTATGAAATAACAAAACTCAGCATGTGTCATGACACACAGCGCCCACTGTGCTCACATGGACGCTCTAGCCTCTAGTCCCACATTTGTTTTCTGAAAGGAACACCCATTAATAAGCAACTGAGAGAAGGGGCCAGGTGAAAGAGACGCACGGTAACATGAACAGAATTCAGAGCCTATGGTCTGCCTAGACAAGGATCAACAAGGCAACAAGCCTCATCAAGAAGGATCTTGAGCCAGGAGTGGTGGCGCACACCTTTAATCTCAGCACCCAAGATGCAGAGGCAGCAGATCTCTCTGAGTTTGAGGTCAGCCTGGTCTATACAGCAAGCTCCAAGACAGCCAATGCTATGTAATGAGACACTGTTTCAAAAAACCAAACAAAGGAATCTTGGGCTGGGGATGTGGCCCACTGGTAGAATGCCTGAGAGCATGCTATACATGAGAGCCTTATATTTGATTCTTTATATTGCAAATAAAAATAAAATGGTGGTCTCAAGCCAAACTGGTCAGCTGTCAGGGGAGACTAGAAAAAGTATTCCCAATAGTGAGGAAATGGGTGCTCTGTTAAAGATCCTGCCTTAGAGTGAAAGTGCAGACTACTTTGTGGCCATGCCTTCTAGAAACACCTAAAAGTGACCATTAATCTCAAAAAGTCCCTCTTCCCAAGATAACACCAAAGCAATTATCCCCGTTCTTTCATGCTCCCCTTAAATGGTTTGGAAGAAAATTGCTTGGTTCAGGTGGAAGAGATCAAGAAAAAAAGACAAGCAAAGGAGGGACACTGAGAAAGTGAGTCAGAGTCACAAGGTTCAAGACCCACCACCTGGACAGGTGTCCTGGCAGGCCACCCCTGCTACAGTGCACATGGACTCCTCAGTGCGGCTGCAGGACGAAGCTAATACTCCATCAATAACCTCAACCCCACTAGCTTGCATTGATGCCACATGGATGTGTTTTATAAGTCTGAACTTCTCCTGAGCTGTACAAAAGAGGGATGTTCTGTACCAAAAAAAAAAAAAAAAAAAAAAAAAAAGCAGGAGAGCCAACTGGTATCTGTGCAGACTTCTTTAGTGGCTGTTTTGAAAGGGGAGCACCCTCCTGGGCCACTGGAAATGCTGTAACTGTCAGCAGGAGGTGAGCATCAGCAGGCCTATCTATTCCTCTCCCTGGTAAAGATGGCGGGAGCTGATCAGATACACACACTGGAGGCCTATAGAGCAGACGGCTCAATGTGCTACAATAAAAACTAAGATAATAGGCACACTTCCAAGTGACTTTCTCACAACTCAATGTCTGGCAATGCCTTATTCTGGGGGATCACACTCTGATAACAGGCAGAGCCCATACCCCCAAGCCATCTGAAACACCAAGACTGACATCAATCTGTGTGATGTTTCTGTAAACCACTCCCCGGGGTCTGGGTCAACAGTGCCAACAGGGCAGACTTCTTGGACATGTGGTTGCAAGAGGAAGAGATGCATGCAGACCACCATGTGCTCTGGAAACCACCTACTGCAGGCTTGGGTAGCCTGAAGGCACAATCCCTGGGATAAATACAAAACAAAGCCTCCATCATAACACACTCTACAGCTGCAATCTCAAAGAAAACCACCTTAGAAGATTGCCATGCCTTCATTCTTAAACGAGAAAATCCAAAGAAGCATCTCTCAGTCTCTCACTGGTCCCTCTGTAGCAACCTCAATTTCATGCAGGGTCAGTAAAAAGACAAAGAAAGCCCTAGCTACCAAGAAATGCCACTGGGTTTCATTATAAGCACTGGCAAACTTGCAAGCTCAAGGGCTTGGGCTTACTGTTGCAACATCATGAGCTGGGGACACAGAAGCAAAATACAAACACAGATGCTAAACTATAGGACAAGGTCAGAATAAGAGGCCTTCTCTCTATTCTCCAACAGGGACCCCACCTTCAAGGTCAGTCTCTGGGCCCTCAGTCCCTCCAGAATACTGTGCCCGCCTCCAATGAGGTCATCCATGCCGTGGTGAATGTTCTGGAGGGAGGAATTAAACTGCAGTGATTCATCCATGGGTATGGTGGTGTCAGAGTCCTGTGAAAGAAACGCAGGCACTTGATTAACTTCCCTTGCTAGTCCGCGCCTAGGGGCTGGTGGCATCTTACTACTCTGCCTTTTGGCCGAGGTCAAGCCAGAAGAGCCAGAGGGAACAAGGCAAGAATCAGCAAACCGAAGAAAAAGCAATCAGAGGTGTGTGTATGAGGGCAGGGGTCTGCTTACACAACAGCAGAGGAGGTGTCAGGCCCATTACTCTCCATACGAGTCCTGCTACCGTGTTGCGTTCTGTATCTGTCACATTTCCCCACTGAGGAAAAGCTAGCTATGCCTTCAAGACTTCATTCATTTCTCCTAAAGGTTTTCTCTGGCTCCTCCCAAAGATAGCTGCTCAAACGTTCCTTCTTGCTCATGTGCTATTACAAGTTTGCTTTTGTTCTTTAGCTATTTTATCTAAAGTTGTCCCTTTGGATAGACTGAGACTACAGATCAAAGAAGCAGTGCTTTCAAATGAAGGCTTAAGGGTGTTCAGGATAGGAACACACTTCTGAGGAAGCAGAAAAAGGTTGCTAAAGAAAGGAAGGCAGCGGGAAGAAGGACAAAGACCACAGACTGAGTACAGGCTATCCGAAAGGCTTGGGACCCATGTTTCAGATTCTAGGACTCTGCAGACTTTGGATTGGAGTTTACCTACTGAGCAGTTCCTTTGGATGCTGGACTTCCAGACGGAAGATGCCCTATCAGTATAAACCAAGTCCTTTTACTTCACAGGTCCATTTCCCTAAACTCTCTCGGCATGCTGGGAGTTATTTCTGTTCTCCCCATTTTACAGATGAAGAAAGTGAAGCCCAGAGAGACAGAATAACTTATCCAGATAGGCAGGATCCCAGGGCAGAGTGCACAGCCAACTCTCAGTTGTAACCACACTGTAGACAGAAACACTAAGAACAATTCTGGTGGCTCTAGTCTCACAGTCTGGGCTGGGGAGAGGACCAGGTGGTCACCAGTTGTGAGTGCTCTCCTTTCTGCTGCCTGACTAACAACCTCCTGCCAGGCAATGCCCCTTCTACCACAGAAGCCCCAATTCCCAGTCAGGAGGATAAAGCATTTGCTCTGCTGCTCAAGTTCAGAACCTACCTTCAGATGGACATTCTGAATTTCCCACTAACATGAGAACTCCTCAAAGGGAGGACCCATGTTTAGTAATTTTCTCAAATGTTTTACTTGGTACCTTGGTGTTGACTCTAGTATTTAAGAGAATTAATGACTCCCCTTACCTGACAAGCACTTATTGACTTCACACAAATCTGTCTCACATTCATTCCCATCTGAAAAGGGACGGGTGCTAGAGACTCTCTTTTAGAATAGGTAAAATGACTAAGAAATAAGCTTCACTTGGTGGGTCAATGTTTCTGAGTAGCCTAGTGAATGTGGTGCCACATCAGGCTGGCAATCAACAAAGTAATCCTGAGAGGTCATCTCTGGCCTAAAAATGCCTGAATGTGACATATTTTTCAGTATGCTATCCTATTTAGCATCTTAAAACATGTTGTGGTGTTAACCACCACAATCTGCCTGCCCACCTACTCTGGAAAAACAAAACTATGAAGCCATGTCCTGAGGCACCTGGAGAAATGCACTGCAGCAGGGGGATGGGGCCATGGGTTTATCCTCCTGCCAGTGGGAATGGGGGCTGAGAAAGGTCAGTACATTGCACATTCAGAGAATAATCCTACTGAAGCTACAGGGCAGGGGTGGGGCTTCTAAGAAATCAAACATGCAAACCAACAGGTTATTCCAAAAGACTGAAGCTAAGCAATCCACAACAGTAAACATCTGTTAACAAATTTCTTCAGGAGTAAAAACATTTCAATGCATCTGAGGCTAGAAACACACACACAAACACACACCATGACAGTGCCTGAACAAAACATATACACAGCACAATGGCAGTACCACACACACATATACACACACACACACACACACCACCATGACAGTGCCTGAACTAAACATATACATAGCACAATGGCAGTACCACACACGCACACATGCACACACAGTACCATGGCGGTGCCTGGAGGCAGCTTACAAATGCTGTCATCTGCATCTCTACAGATGGGCTAAGTTCTAGCCGTCTGTCTCCATCTGATCACAAAAACACCTCAACTGTGTGATCTTCCACCTCTGCAGTGGACCAGCCTCTGCCCACTTCTCCAATTTAACCGCTTCCTCTTCAGGGTTTTGCGTTGGAGAGAAATTCCCCATCTAGGTATGGTCTTAGTGGCAATGCATAAAATTTCCTGTCAGTCCACTTGTTCTCCTCCTCCTGCGTCTGCTTCAAGCAACCCCCTAAGAGGTGATGCCTGGTGACCTGCTCTCAGTTCTGACACCCCCAGTGTCTGGCTTACGTTAGTGGTGAAGGTTCGAGACAGAAGCTCATCTCGCTGTCTCTCCTGCTGCTCCCTGGCATGGCGCCGGTGCCGGAAGTTCCTGAGGGCTGTCTGCAGGTGCTGGACATCATACTTGAGTTGGTCGACACGGCTGGAATTAATGACACAGAGATTAAATTCCAGGGACCAAAGGTGGCACACTTTGAGGCAGCCTGGCTTGGTACTCAGGGGAGAAGACCTTGCTTCATTTCTCCCCACAACGCCCGCACCAGTGCCTAAACTGACAAGCAAAGATGCCGAGTCAAGCAGCAGCTTGTGGTTTAGGTGGGTGGAATCACACACAATTCCAGCAGCTTTGCTTAAATGTCTGCTGGACTGCACCGCTTCAGGGAACAGGTGACAGGAAGCAGGCTTGATGACCCCTTCCTGACCTTGCACGAGTTATTCCACACTCCTGGAAGAAGCCCAAGGGCAGCTTTGAGGTAGAGCAGCAATGAGTTTCGTGGAACTTTTAGGAGCAGGGGTTGGAGTGTTGGTGAGGGAGTTTCCTTTGACTTTCATGGTGGAGTATCAAACATGAGATCAGTACTTCATTATAAACAGACTGATTGAGGCGATTAGGACCAGGGCATGTCAGCCCAACAGAAGCCAGTGGGAACTAAACAGCAGAGCCAAAATCCCCAGAAGCATTAAGCTTTCAGTGGCTAGGGGTCTGGTCAGAAAATGCATACTTTCAAAATGACCTCAAAGAAATAAGAGATCATAATCATCCCCAAAAGAAACATGGGACCATGATCACAGGCTTCTGAGAAACAAACCTCATACTTTTAATCTGGAGGGTATACTGCTTAGGTAGAACTCTGTATTTTAGGCAGACTTATCTTTGCATTGTCTACATTTCTTTAGTATGTACCCAAGTTTTCAGTATATCCTACAGCTTCTAATGGGAGAAAGGGCAGCCTCGGTGGGCCTGCAGTATCTGAGCCATGTCAGGGGTCAACACTCACAGTTTGGCACTCTGCCTTTTATTAGGGGGCTCCTTGCTGGACAAAATCTCCAGACGCTCTAGATGGCTGAATATCTGGTCTATGCTTGCTTGGATTTCATTTTCTACTACTGCACAAAAGAGAGAGGGAGAAAAAAATAATTACTGGAAGAGATAATAAATCGAAATAAGAGTGATAACTTGTGCCGGGTGGTGGTGGCACACGCCTTTAATCCCAGCACTCAGGAGGCAGAAGCAGGCAGATCTGAGTTAGAAGCAGCCCTGTTCTACAGAGCAAATTCCAGGACAGCCAGGACTACACAGAGAAACCCTGTGTCAACTCCCACCCTCAGAAAAGTGATAAACCAAACATTTTTCCATAACACAAACAAAACATATGTATTTCAAAAGGAGCACAATGCATATAAAGATGAATCAATTCAAGGCATACTGTGTTTCAAAGCATGTATATACTTATAGCTACACATAGTTGTTAGCTGTTCTGTTTTTAAAGAAGGCATGTCTGAAGACATAAACTCTCCACCTTTTGAAAATAAACATTTAAAAATTGCCTAAATAGCTCTGTTAAGCTAAATGTTTTGATATAGCTTAACAGATATGGTTAATAAACCCCTAGTAAAAAGGTGACCAACTGAACTCCTCATAGATGAGGCTAAAAGAAAAGCAAGAAACAAAGAAACGGGACGGTTAGTATGAAAACACCAGAGGAATTCTGAAAGCAGGGGTAGCTGGCATGTGTTGGAGCCCTCAGAATAGACCACATATCAATAGGAAAGACCCAGGAAAGAGCCCGCAGAGGTAGAGGGTGTGATAGTCACTTTCCTTATCCCCTTTGATAAGGCTGTCAAAAAGACCTCTTTCCATTTCTAATCAGGCAACCATGAGATTGTTGGGAAGGCAAACAAAGGCCAGTGGGCAGAAACTAAACTGCACAGATCAAGTATCCAGGCAAGAAATGACAACCCTGGCACCAGCCTTTCCTAGGACTCCGCCCGCACCTGCAGCAAACGCAGTTTAGATTAGGGCACACTGCAGGGCGCAAAGCTAAGGGGAGCGACGGAAAAAGAGGAAACGGAAACAGGCCTAGCGAGAGCTGGGCAGTGAGGTGACAAGAGCTTCCGTGGGAAGTCCCCGAGGCTGGCTCTGAAAGGGGCACTTTGGAGCAGAAATGAAACTCCAAACCACAACCCCACATGCCTCTCAAAAGAAACTGGTGTGGGAACTAATTAATATTGCTAGTTGTTTGAATAATCCTACTAAGAAGCCAGAGTTCTCAGCTCAGAAGAGATGGCCAGTTCCAGGTCAACATGTCTGAATTTTCAGACTAGGTAATTAGATTAAGACAGATGGAGAGAGAACTCCCATTCCCATAGGGCCATGTCAGGTTGAGTGGAAGGGTAATGGGGGATAAAACTTGTGGGACTCCAGAGGGCACAATCAGGGAGCTCTGCAACTTGGCCATAAGGTTTTTCTGTTCATCCTAACAGCTCATTCCATGCTGAGTCATTAAGCCCCCAAGGCAGAACACAGCCAGGAAACCCAGCCCAGCAGCCCCATGTCATCAGAGAAAGGACTCTGCTCTCCCTGGTTAATTACTCACAGTGCACAGACTGCCTGTCTGCAGTCTCCAGGCGTCCCATGTGAGACTGGGTCTCGTGAACCTGCCTATCAAAGGAAGAGGGAGGAAATGAGTGAGACAGGAATAATCACTCGCACTTCAGTCAGGAAAGACAACTTGTTCTAATGCCATCTTACAACTGATTTAAACTGACAGTGCTGCTGAACTGTAAAATTTATATGTGGTGCTTTCGGGCCACCCATTTTGGCATCATTTCTAAGATCCTAATGCTAATAATAATACTGCTAGCATTCAATGAGTGCTTACTGTATCTGAAACACTGCTAAGTCAATAACCCTGAAAGGAAAAGCACTATCACCGTTCTCATTTTATAAATAAAAACTGGAACCCAGAAAGGTCATGCAAGTTGCTCCAGGCCACACAGCAGGCGATAAACCTCCACCAGGATCCAGCCAATCCCACTCTCTGTTCTGTGACCCAATGTGCTGAGCACTGGTCTGTCTACCAAGAGTCAAAGGGCAAGGGAGATACAATCCTTGCCCCTGAGAAACAATGTAATTAGGAACTGACAGGCCAGATGGACATGAAAAATCCCCGAGAAGAATTACGGGAAAACCAACACACAGAAGCAGAAACAAACAGAAAGTTGAGGAGGGAGCTGTGTACAGTGGGGCAAAGGAACAGAAAGGCTGGGCTAAGAAAGTGTAAACCATGGCATTTGGTAGATGGAAGGAGTTGTGTTCGCTTGTTTTTGAGACAAGATTGCATTTATGAAGCTGAGGCTCACCTTGAGCTTGTGATCCTCCTGCCTCAGTCTCCACAGTGCTGGGATTACTATTGTGCATGCCACCATAGAAAATGCTATGCAGAAGGCTCACAAGGCATTTCACATGGGGTAAAGGCAGGCTTGGAGTGCCTGAAAGACACTGAGAGAAAGAGCAGCGGGGAGCACACAGTGGAAGGACCATTTAGGAGGAAAGCCCTGAAAGATGGGTATCTCTTGTTTGGTAAACATCTCTCTCTGACAATAGGAGGGTGACTGCCATCTCATTTGGAAAAGCAACAGGTCCCAGACATTAGGCCCAGGGCACTCTCTGGAGACTCTCCAGGTCAACATCACCTTCGAACCCTTCCTAGTGGTTCCCCATCACTTGTCAGCTCTTGGAATGCTGCTTATGTTAGTCCCAATGCCTTCTGTGCTTATACAGGCACTACGCACAGAGCCAGTGTGAAGGAGACCTCATCTCCAGTCCATAACAGAAAGCAAAACAACTTTTCTCCACTGTGAACTTTATATACCATGAACTCAAATTTTACCACGGCCAGCCAGGAGCACCATCTTGCTTCCGTGTGTCTCTGGCTTTTTCTTTTCTTTTTTTTTTTGGGGGGGGGTTCAAGACAGGGTTTCTCTGTATTGTTTTGGAGGCTGTCCTGGAACTTGCTCTGGAGACCAGGCTGGCCTCAAACTCACAGAGATCCGCCTGCCTTGCCTCCCGAGTGCTGGGATTAAAGGCATGCACCACCAACGCCCGGCCGTCTCTGGCTTTTTCACAGCTTTCTGGTAACTTCTAAGTGTGACCTATGGCACCAGAAGCCAATCCAGCTGTCTAAGACTTCCTGAATGCTTCAAGGCAAGCCTTGTAACCATGAGAAGCAACCTGTCAGCTGTTTCAGGAAGGGAGCTTTGGAAGGGATGGGGCGGGGCAGAGGCAGTGGAGGTACAGAGACTGATGCAGGGATGCAGATGGAGGTAATTGATATATGGAACACTTGGATGAGGACAACACCAGGGGCTGGTGAGTTGATGGGCAGGAAAATTAGGATACCTATTAGTAGAAGTAGGACACCGGCAATGAAATAAACTTGTAATGGTGACTTAAAGCAAATCAGAAAGTTCATGTTATTATCCACAGGAATAGGAATGACAAAAAAGAAGAGGAGGAGGAGGAGGAAAGAAGAAGAAGAAGAAGAAGAAGAAGAAGAAGAAGAAGAAGAAGAAGAAGAAGAGAGAGAGAGAGAGAGAACAGAGGCAGCAAAAACATAACCAACTCAATTCTGAAGAAATATATGGAAGTTGACTCAATAAATAGCGATAACAAAAGGGTTGCAGATAACAAAAGGGTTGATGTCCAAAATATGTAAAGAACCCCTACAAATCAACAGGAAAAGTTCAACAGAGCAATTTTTTTTTTTTTTGGTTTTTCGAGACAGGGTTTCTCTGTATTGTTTCGGAGGCTATCGGTCCAGCCCAGCCTCGAACTCACAGAGATCTGCCTGCCTCTGCCTCCCGAGTGCTGGGATTAAAGGCGTGCGCCACCACCGCCCGGCTCAACAGAGCAATTTTTAAAATAGCCAAAGAGCTGGACGTGGTGGCACACACCTTTAATCCTAGCACTCAGAGGGTAGAAGCAGGCAGATCTCTAAGTTTGAGGCCACCCAGGTCTACAGAACAAGTTGCAGAACAGCCAGGGCTACACAAAGAAACACTGCCTTCATTGAAAAACAAACAAAAAACGAAACAAAAAGACCAAAGGGCAAATGACAGAAAAGGAAACACAGAGAGTAGACACATTTTAAAAAGATCAACTTCAATGATAACTCTGAAAACACATTAAAACCAATGGTATCATATGCCTCCCATCAGAACTTGAGAACATGGACATAAGTAGGGAAACCATACATGATAGTCTCATACCTGTCTGACGAGACCCTTCAAGTGCATTCTGACAACACCTGGTAGCATCACACACACTGCATGACCCAGTACCACACTTTTAGCAGCAAGGTTTACAGAGATTCTGCTTATATCAAGGACTTGTAACAGATGTTCATCAAAGCATTTTGTACAGATCTATAACCCACAGCCACACATCTATAATAAAAACTTGTAAGTTTTTGGCAAACCAATTATGTGGTAAAAATTGATGAGACTTGAAGCTATGGTTTGTTTATTCCACAAAGTGTGACATTCTATTGCCCTTTTCATGGGTCCTGTGCTGTCCTTATGGTGATTTTGTTTGGTTTTTGTTTTTCAAGACAAGGTTTCTCTGTGGCTTTGGAGGCTGTCCTGGAACTAGCTCTTGTAGACCAGCCTGGCCTCGAACTCAATAGAGATCCACCTGCCTCTGCCTCCCGAGTGCTGGGATTAAAGGCATGCGCCACCACCGCCCGGCTCTTTCTTTTATTTTTTTGGAGACAAAAAGAAACAAACAAACACAGCGGTTGCTTTATTATGTAGCCTTGGCTATCCTAGAACTCACTATATAGACCAGACTGGCTTCAAACTCAGAGATCCACCTGCCTTTTGTTTCCCTAGTCCTGGGACAAGTTGTGTGTGGCTTGTGTGTTGGGTTCTCCACTGTCCTCTGTCAGCCTACAGGCGGAAAAGCAAGGCTGACTGAAGGATGCTCCTTCAGGGGGAAGCAGCACTGAAAAGCACCCGATTCAAGATGAGTGGGGACCACCCCAATAAACACATCTTGGGGGGAAGAAGAGAGGAGGAGGAGGAAGAGGAAGAAGAGAAAGGGGAAGAGGAAGGAGGAGGAGGAGGAAGAAGCAGCAGCAGCAACAGCAGCGGCAGCAGCAACATCAGGCCCATGACTGTCTGGGGTCTTACAAGGATCTTCATGACCAAAGACAGAACTGGAATGGAAGCTCTTGTCAGTCCCTTTCAAGTCTGAGATTCTTAAGGACAGGTGAGACAACACTACCTTAAAATCACTCTTTGGCCAGATAAAAAGAAGAATTTTAAGAAATTTCAGAGAAACATTAACGACTTTCCCCATTTAATTTCTATTTATAAGTTCTGTTTGGCGATAAATGAATGAGAAAAGATATAACCAATAAAGTAGGTCCAGCCTCTACATTCCATGCTAGGAAATAAATGCAAACATGGCTGGTGTGACTGGCATGGTGGAAGTTCCTACCTAATACAGCACTTGGAGAATCCATTTCCATTCAGCTGGGATCCAGACAACACCCACACAGCCAAGTGACAGATACCCAAATAGGACAAACATGAGGGTGTAGACATGAGAACAAAAGAAGTTTCAGGCTTTTCTATCATGGGGTCCACCATGGACTTGAGTGATAATATAGGCAAGCAAAGAGTTAGTACACATTAAGCAGGAGGCATTGCTGTAGCACTGTCTGCTCTTCCAGAGGACCCACTCCAGCTGCAGGGGATTTGACACCCTAACACATAAATACAGGCAAAATACCAATGCACATAAAAACAAATAAATAATTTTAAAAAAAGAAGTCACAGCCGGGAGGTGATGGCGCACACCTTTAATCCCAGCACTCAGGAAACAGAGGCAGGCAGATCTCCGTGAGTTCGAGACCAGCCTGGTCTAGAAGAGCTAGTTCCAGGACAGTTTCCAAAAGCCACAGAGAAACCCTGTCTCAAAAAAACAAAACAAAACAAAAAAACAAACAAACAAACAAAAAGAAAGTCAATGAATCTGTTGGGCCCAATAGTGGTAACAACTATAATCCCAGCAGGAGCCGGGACAACAGCAAGTGAGGGGGAGGGGGAATGTCATGAAACTACCTACCCACCTCCACGATACACGGTGACTATATGTGCTTACTGCCTCTGACCACCATGAGCAAGATAGTGCTTGGGAGTTAAAAAGATCTCAGTTGCAAATCTAGTTCAATTATGCAAGATGACAGACTCTTTGCAAGTCATTTAACTCCCTGGTGCCTCTGTCTTAACTATGCAACTGAGCTTCTAATGGCAACAATAATTTGAGAGATTACAGAAACCAATGGTTGTGTGTAACCTAAATAGCATCAAGTTAAACTGCTGTTGCTTTTAAAGTAATGAGTGTGATGGTGTACATCTTTAATCCCAGCACACAAGTAGCAGAGGCAGGTGGATCTTTGTAAGTTTCAGGCCAGCCTGATTTTCATAGTGAGTTCTAGGTCAGCAGGGGCTACACAGTGAGATTCTATCTGAAACAAACAAGTAGTGGGTTAACCTGGGTGTGGCGGTGCTCACCTGTCGTCTTAGCACTTGGGACAGAGGCAAGCAGGCTATAAGTTCAAGGCCAGTCTGAGCCACAAAGCAAGTTACAGGCTAATCTCAGCTATATAGGGAAATCCTGTCTTGAACACACATATAATCTCTCTCTCTCTCTGTGTCTCTCTCTCTCTCTCTCCACATCTTCCACTCTTCCTCTATAGTTAGTCTTTACACCTCATAAGGCAAATTAACAAATTGGTCTTGAGATAATAGTTCTTAAAACAAACTACTCATTAAAACCACCTGGAAAGCCTGTTCACTACAGACTTGTTTGTATCTAAGACCTACTTAACCTGCATTGTCTAGAGATGAGACCCAGAATTGCAGACTGGACAACACAAGGAACAAATATAACCATCTTTACAAACACAAGTATCTCAAAAATGGAAGCCTGGCTATTAGCTTCTCCATGAAGCTCACTTTAGTGAACAATTACTGAAGTATAAAATGTCCTGTTTTTCATCTTTTTTTTTTTCATTCATTTGGTGCTCAGGACTTTAAATGATTTAATGTCAGTGTACTTTCACAGTAAGAGATAATCACAGATTAGGTCCAACGTTCTAGAGAGATGTTCCAGAGAGTATGTTCTGATGTATGTTTTGTCAATTCAGCAAACAGCATATTAACCTCAATGCACGACTAGGCCCATGTAAAGGATCGGTTCTTAGTCATGCAAGTTTGATTTTCTGTTTCATTCCTTTTCCAAGTGACTCACAGGCTATTTTTTAATCTCTTACTACACTTTTTATATAATATGTAAATTGTCATTATAATGTAGTTTCCATATTTTCCCCTCTCCAAAATCACTTTGTTGCCAAAGTAAAAAGAAAACCATAAACTTAGAATATAAGATAGAAAAAGAGTAGCCACCATCTTATTTCCAATCCTTTGTAATGAGTTTACTAAGGAGGCCGGATGACTACTTTATTTCATTTTCAGACCCAGGGAATATGACAGTTCAGTGTTGTAAAATCAACAGAAAGGCCTTAAAATGGCATAAGTATGAGCCCTTATCACGCCCAGCTACATAACACAGCAAGTTCCCAAAACACAGGCCAACATGAATAAAGGACACATCAAGGAAACTAATTTAGTTATGAATAGACAGTCTTAAACTCAATTTCCTTAAAGCTAACTTACCCAATGTGACTAACAATAATAGTCTATGTCACCTGTATTTCTTTAAATCACAAAAATATGTTCTTTAATAACCAGTCAAGAATACAAAACGCTTTTTTCGTACAACCCCTGACACTCCCACTAAGCAATGAACTCATGGACACAATCTTCGTCAACTGCTTCTCTGTTCTCGAAGCTCTACCAATCCGGAGGACTACGCTGGCAGGTGCTGGACAATGTACTATAACCTGCGGCGGGTGGGGGGGGGGTGTTGCTACTTTTCCTTCCCAATAGGCCGTCACGGTTTGCAGTCTGCAGCAGGGGCTACCCGGCCCGAGCCTTCGCACCCACACCGGCCCCCTCTCGCGGCCGAGGACATCCCGCTAGGGACTGAGCAATGCGGAGCAGCCCCGGCGGAAACGCTCGGCCTCCACAATGGCAGTCGCCAAAGCCCCGAGCCCCGGGAGTCGCCGCCCGGGCCGAGCCCAGCCCGCTCCCCGACGCAGCCCTCACTTGTGCGTTTGTTGGTACAGCGGCTCCATGACGCCGGCCGAGCCGGCCTGCGGCTTCCTCGGAACACGTCCTCACAGCCCCACTTCCGGCTTCCGACTTCCGGTCTCAGGACCCGCCCTTGTGAGTAGGGCGCCCGCTAGTGCGCCTGTCCCGTGGTGGTTGTGAGGTTGCAGAAGGGGTTGCGAGAAAGGAAAGCAGTACGCGAGGGGTGGGTGTGGCTCGAGGCTTGGCCCAGCGGGGAGCCAAGGGGAAGGTTTTTGCTGGAGCCTAGCTTCAGGTTTGAATCAGGTATCGGAGAGGACGGTCGCGGGGTACTGACGTCAGAGCCTTAGGGAGAAGTCGCTGGCGACTTTCTCCCTCGCTCTTCGCCGCGCTTTCCGGCTTGGCTTCCCTGTGTAATTTTGGGCCTGGGGATTTCTCTCCTCGACACGAATGCTTTTCCTGTCACGAACTTGTCCGTCCCATCTCCTGTTGATTTCCGTTAAGCCCACAGCGCGTGCGTGTTTAACTTCTTGTCCTGTGTGACGTGGAACAACCAAATTCCTCCTGGTCTTCAAGAAGTTGGACTAGACAAGGAAATACGATCTGTATACAAATAAGCATTCCAAAAGGTAGAAAAATCCCAATAAATGCAAAGATAATGAACTGAACTGGGGTTGTCGTCAGTGGGAAATTTTTAAAAGACGTGCAGGGCGGGTGACGTTTGGATTAGGATTTGGAAGGGCTCAAACACTTGTCTTCACCTAGGCCCATCTCATTTCCATCCATCTAGGTGCTTATCTACAGTTCCTCCCAAGGGAGGAGTTGTTCCTCTTCCTTTAGTGAGTTGAACCTTCTATTTTCCTGTATCCTGCATCCCTCCCAGTTTTGTGTCCCAAGAGACTGCCTGCCCATATTCATTCTTTCCCTAACATTAAATTTCCCGCTTCCTCTCACATTTACTGAACATCTACTGGGTACCATGCACAGATGTGTGGGGTAGGAACACAAACAAAACACATTCCTGAAGTTTCCCTTTCTCACTGTCTATTGAGAAGGTTCGTGCCTTGAGGCCACGTAGCAAGCAGCAACATTTAGGTTATCACGGATACAAGGACCATTTCTCTGGAGAAGAGCAAGAGGGATTCAGAATCAAGAAGCCTGGGTGCCGGGCGGTGGTGGCGCATGCCTTTAATCCCAGCACTCGGGAGGCAGAGGCAGGCGGATCGCTGTGAGTTCGAGGCCCGGCTGGACCGACAGCCTCCAAAACAATACAGAGAAGCCCTGTCTCGTAAAAACAAGCAAACAAAAAAAAAAAAAAAAGAAGAAGAAGAAGAAAGAAGCCTGGGTATGGGACACTCAAAAATCAATAGAAGGTTTGGGGAGGGAACGGCTGCATTTCAGCTATGATTGGGGAGGATTAGATAAAGGGCTACTTTATTAGATTTTTAGTACTTCAGTGGCGAGGAATGTGCAGGGAAATATGTATACTTGTATGTATCAGTAAAATTGTCTTTGGGTTGTGTGGGGCCCTAAGCAAATATTTTTGTGGGCCTTGTTATTTAGGCCTTTTGGTTTTAAACTGTATCACAAAATCCATGGCCCCATATGAAGAACAGTAAGAATAAATAACAGAAAAGAGGAACCTTCATATTCAATTGTTTTGTAATAAATACAGCAAGGACTCCTTACAGTATTCATACATCATAGGTTCCTGTTTGGACCCAGTAACTATATATGTGTTCTTGTCCTTTATTTTTGAATGTTCTATTTCTGGCCACCATGAAAAAATTAAAGGAGAACAAAGCTGTTACTTACAATGTCATGGCTCTTCTGTCTTCATTGGTAGCTCTTGTGCCTTTCCAGTTCCTTGTGCCATTTGATGTGACGTCACTCGTGGTGCTTTGTTCCCTTCCGTCTGCTGGTGATTACCGGCTCGGTCCACTACTGTGCTTTGCTAGTGGTGGCAGGAGTCGCAGGATTGCCTAGAGTCCTGTGTTTGCTAGTTACTTCTGTCATCGCTGAGAAGCTACTTAGGAGAGGGAAGGTTAATTTTGGTTCACAGTGTGAAAAGGTACCATCCATTTTGTCAAGAAAGTCATACTGGCAGGCAGCTTTACGGTGCTGGGGATGGGAGGCTGCTACTTGCTACAGCTCAGCAGACCAGAAAACAGAGAAAGGAAAGGGCTACCACTCTGTTGAGTTTGTCCTTTTTTTCTCTCTCTTTCTTTCTTTCTTCTATTTAGTTTGGGACACCAACCCATGTGATAGTGATGCTCATATTCACGGGAGTATTCTCCCCTTAGTCCTTTTTTTTGTTGTTGTTATTTATGTGCCTATATGTGTGTGTGAGTGCAGATGCCTTAAGAGGCCAGAAGAGGGCATAGGATCCTCTGGAATTGGAGTTACTGGTGGTTGTGAGCCATCTGATATAGGTGCTGGGAACTGAACTCAGGTCCTCTGGAAGAGCAACAAGTGGTATTGAGTGCTAAGACATCTCTCTAGTTCCTCTGAGTGTTTCTTAATGCAATCAAGTTGGCAAATTTGATTGCCATAGCAAGTATTCATAAACACATCAAATTCTGCTAGGAATTTTGTAGGATTAGTGTGCAACAATGTAGCTTCTACTGCGTTCCTGGGATGTAATTTTTTTCAGGGTTTACTGCACCCTGGCTTCCACACACTGAAACCCATTGGTAGAGGCAGGGAGAAGACTGGTTAGTATGGCTCTGGAAGAGAAGTCCCATGTGCAAGGCACGTTTGACTCTTATCTGACACAGCTTGAGATTGACCATGAAGTCATCACATTGATCATAAGGAACAGAGGAGACTGACTGCAAAGGCCAATTGGCCTTACAAAGTAATACTATTAAATGGAAATAGACACGGCCACTGCTGGAGGACTGCCACCATGTGGTGTAAAGCTGTAGAGGCCCAAGTTCCTGTCCTGTGACTCTAAAGGACACAGTAGAACAGATGATGTTTAAGCTACTGAATCCTTGAGTGGGGCACTGAGACAGTGCCTTCGTGCTCAGGATGGCCTCTAACTCACCATCATCCTATATGCTGGGATTAAATGTGAGTCGTCATGTCTGCCATAAGACACTATTTAAGTGGTTTGATATGTAGCAAAACAGATAGTTGACCTGAAAGAGTTCATTATCAAGTCAGGGTGATAAAGATCGGAGCTTATGAAAAACCAAAAATGCATGATAGCATATAAATCTGCCATGGGGGAAGGCTGATGAGCACCTGCCTAGACTTGATATCCACTACTACAGAGGGAGAGGTGGTGAGAGACAGGTAGGGAGGAGATGTTCTTGAACCATGATGGGAGAGGCTTTCCAGAGAGACAGGACCTTAAAGTGCACAGACAATGTATGGTGAGGCAGGCCAAGGTCTCCAGGCAAGTGGAGAGGTAAAGTAGGGATGGCCTGTTTCGGTGATGGTCTGTGTGGTTCCCCTTGACTGGAGCAGAGGGTTGCCTCTACCTTCTGACCTGGGACTTCTGAAGGCTGTTGCGCCTCAGACAGGATGGGTGATCTTCATGCTTCCTCCCTCTGTTTGAGTGTTTAGACACTCACAGTTCTAGGGCTTCAGGATTTGGAACACCACCTCACACTTAGCCTGTTTATTTTCATTTGTGGGGTAGCAAACTTAAAACACAACTATGAAAAATGATTCAGTTTGGTTGTGTATGCCAGCAATCCCCATGACTTAGGAGGCAGTGGCAGAAGAAGCATGAGTTGTGTCAGCTTGGGCTGCACAGAGTGATCCTGCTTTGAAAAACAAAAACAAAAAAGAGTTCTGGCCAGGCATGGTGGCATACACCTTTTAATTCCAGTACACATTCAAGAGGCAGGGGCAGGAAGATCCTGTGAGCTCAAGGTTAGCTAGAGCTTCATAGTGAGATCCTGTGTCAAAAAAATCCATCTGCCTGTGCATCATGATGAAGATTCATTTTTACCTCTGAAACCACATTAGTTTGTGTTTCTGTCTTAATCAGCCTTCATAGAATAATTCTGTTATCCCTTCAAGTCGCCAACACCTCTTCCCCCTCCATTTTCTGCAAATCTTCAGTGTTTCTCAGAAAACCTTTCTAAAACCCAGATACAGGACTACATCCTCCTCTTGTCACTCAGAGCCCATCTTACTAGTCTCATCTCTGGCCATGCTCCCATCCCAGCTGTAGTAACCTCAGCAATCTCCCCAAGGACCGCTGTGTCTTCTGGCTTTGGCATCTACTATTCCCTGTGCCTCTGATGCCTTTCCCTCTGCCTCAGGCCTGGCTGATCCCCACTTACCTGCAAACTCCAGCTGTGATGTCATCTCCCCTGGGGAGCACCTTAGAGGCCTAGGCTGTGGATGCTCAACAACTTGCTGTTTCCCTTTGCACATTGTGCTCCTCCTTGACTCTCAGAAAAGATGTCTCAGCCCTCTGTCCACCATCCTGGGGGCAGGAGATGTGCCTTTTGTCTTTACATAGCTCAGAGCCTCATAACAGGCAGGTGCTTATTAAATATTAGTCCTCCTGGGGTGGGGATGTAGCACAGTGGTAGAATATTTCCCTAGGAATTCCTAGATTCAATCCCCAGTATCACAAAACAGCCATCTTAAATAGATTTTATGTAATAACTCATTCTCCCAAGTATGTTTCATGGCCCTGTATCCCAGAAACCAAATTACTTGAAAACTGGCTTTTAGGTGTTTAAAAATTGCCCACATCACTTGGCTCTGACCAGCGCCAAGGAAGAATAAAACAAAGTCAACAACAAAAATCAACCCACATCAGGAGAGCCATCCTCTGTGAAAAGTCTAAACTTAAAGTGGGTTCAGTGATGGGTAAAATACGCCTCCTTTGACTTTAAACACAGCCCCTTCTCATTCTGTGCTCTCCTCTCCTGCTGGGAGGCAGGACCAGCAGCATCACCCTGCTTGTCTGTGCAGAGACACCGAGCTGAAGAGGACTTAACATCATGGCCCACGCTGACTAAAGAAGGACGAGGACAAGGACCAGACTAGAGTCACATGCCACCCTCCAGGCAGTTGCTGTATCACCAGCCTGCCTTATTGACTCAAAGTGCTTGTCACAGATAAACAGGACACCTCTGGATTGGGTCTGCTTTAGACAATAGCTTTCATCACCCCCCACCTAAGCCTGGGAGACATTGCCTGGCC